TAGGGAAGTGGAATTATTTATTGTCGTACTCGAGATGCTTGTCAAGAAGTAGCTTCAAGACTGAGTAGAAAGGGACTTGCTGCAAAGGCTTATCATGCTGGTAATTTACCATTTAATTGAAATGATGAACACATGATATTCACTGACATCTTCATCATTGCATCTTCACCTTTCCCGGTTATATTACCAACCAATTTATTTTTTTTAATGATTACCAGCTCCACGTTGGCTTGCTAGCTTAACTGGTTAGAGCCCTGCACTGGTTTTACAAAGGTCAGGGTTCGACTCCTGGCAAGCCTGAATGTTCTTGCGCTTTTTTGAGTCTTTATTTTAATAGGGTTTAATAGAGTCAGGGTGTACCAAAAATGTTTTCAGCCCCATAACCTCATGCTAGAGTACTGAAATAAGCTGCCACAGGTCTAGACATTTTAAATTAAGCTGCCTGACAAGCGAAAAAAGTTTGTCAGCTTGCAGAGAGGCAGTGTTACAGATTTTCTCCTCGAATTATGAAGGTTCATGGGTCTCTCGCCATTTCACAAAGTCATCCCGGCACAACATTGGAAAGATGTTAGTGAAGTATTTTAAAATGTGGATTCATTAGATTTGCTTACTGATGAAATCCCTGTGTATAGCTTCAGGTAATCTCCTCAGAACACGGGCAAAGGGGAACCTTGTTCCTAAAGGCCAGGTGACGATACTTGTGATCAGGGTAGAGGTCTAACCTACAGCCTTTTTTTATAGCAAGCAACTGCAATAAACAAATGTAACCAACAAAACAAGTTAATTAATTTATCTGCTTTTCTTATTTTCACCTTATCACCCTGGTATTCAACGGAATTTAGTTTCAACTTTGTATTTGTGAATCTTTCCTGTGTACATGTTCAGGTATTGTATACTTACAAGTATATTGTTCAACTCCACAGGCCTTACACAAACAAAACGTGATGAAATCCAACAGGAATGGATGGATGGCAAAGTCCCCATCATTGTTGCGACAATAAGTTTTGGTATGGGAGTAGACAAAGCATCTGTGAGGTAAATTACTATGAAGTCTTTTTCGCAAAATACTGAGATTCATACAAGTTGTATGAAGAGGGAAGATTTTGGCATGCAATTAATGATCGTGACAATGACGTTTATATTTTACTTAAAGAGAGTAACAAGTCAAAACTTCAGAATGAAGCTGTAAAGTGTATTCATGGAGGTAGGTCGCGGAGCATTGAAACTTCATAACTTTCAATTTTCTCTTAAGCTAAAATCTGAAAGTTGTTTTTTTGTTTTTCTGTGAAAGTTTAAAAGGAACAGTTTTAGCCTTTGTAATTAACAAATTATTCAAACCAGAACCAGAATTTACAAGCTTAAAGATAATTTATGGTATAAAACTCTGCCATCAGATTGGTGTAAGATCCGGGGGGAGGGGGGAGGGGGTGCTTTTGGTGGGGTGGTGAGTAATACGACTAAGGAGGGAGGTGAGTTTAAGAGGGACCTAATCTCCCAAAATTGAAGGCCATATCAAGGATTTGTCTTTAAAGAGGCTGGCATTAATGGTACATGAAGACTCACATGGGTGGTTCAAGCATGTTTTTTCTATTTTTTCAAACAGGAAAACAAGATGTTTTTGTTTCAATGCCCACTGGGTCTGGAAAATCGCTCTGTTACCAGCTACCGGCAGTCTTGGCTGAGGGAATAACTATTGTATTTTCTCCACTTATTGCCCTCATTCAAGATCAAGTGTCACACTTAAAGTCCCTCTCCATCTCAGCCGAAACACTTAACTCAAAACTCCCTGCTGCTGAAAGAAAACAAGTTTATGGTGAACTTGAAAAGCTGAACCCCTCTATCAAGCTTTTATATATCACACCTGAGCTTGCTGCAACGCCTGGATTTCAGAGAGTTTTAAAATCTCTGCACAGGAGAAAGCTACTGTCGTTATTTGTGGTGGATGAGGCCCATTGTGTGTCACAGTGGGGACATGACTTTAGACCTGATTATTTAAAGCTTGGTTCACTACGGACACAGTTTAATGACGTTCCCTGGATAGCGCTAACAGCTACGGCCACTCCACATGTCCAAACAGATGTTCTTACATCTCTTCATTTACACAAGCCGATAGCGATCTTTAAAACCTCCTGTTATCGTCCAAATTTGTTTTATGATGTGTGGTATGTAGTTTGAGAGCCTTAACATAAAATGTAACATTTAGCTGTGGCCAGAATGGAGGCAAAAGTATCTTGGTCAAGGCCTTCAGGTAGATTTGTGGGCACAAGCAAGAGGAGGGGAAGGGAATAAAAGTAATGCTTTTAGGTGTGTTATTGTTCTGTCTCTGTCGCCCGCACAATAAACACAATAAATGACACATCAAAAGGTGTCAAAAAATGTATTGTTGGCAAGATAACTTCAGAGAATTCCAGTCCCCTGGACTTAAGCAAAAATTGGGATGCAAGTGGCAGAAAAACAGTACAAAAACATGCTGTTTGATCTTGCTAATAGAGATGCAATCACTGATGCATGAGGTCTTGCTGAAACAAAATCACCAATGGTCAGCATACCATATTCTTGTGCTCTGCTTTGCAAAGTGGGGTGCCAGATGCTGGAGATTTTAACTGCCTTGCTCTAACTACTTCCATCACAAGCATAAATCACTTATCATGCCTCACATGGTACAAATCAACCAGTAAGAACTTTCTTTTTCCAGATGAACAACTTGAAGAGATAACCTATCTTTGGGTGCTTTTTTTCTCTCTTCCCCCCCTCCCTTGCATGTCTTGCACTGTTACATTAGTACCCCCAAACCTGTCTGAGTGCCCCCAATTATGCCTGTTGCATGAAGGCTTTGACAACCAAGGCAGTTACCTCATTATAAAAAAAAAAGTTGTGAAGTTTCTTCTGTGTTATAAAGAACAGTGAAAGGATACTAGCAAATCGTGTGTAGCAGGTCAATGCTTGTATTATTGTGAGTATTATGAATAAAGTGTTGTGTTTATAACCCTCTTAAATACAATTTTTTTATCTTTTTTTCCCATCTCAAGTTTCAAGGAACTTCTTGATGACCCTTATGCTGATCTTAAAAGTTTTGCTGAGTCAGCATTATCAGAGCAGGATAGCAGTAATGGAGGGAAGGTAATAGATTTGCTTGCTATATTTGATGTGTATATTTGCATAGGCTGTCATTATTTCTTCACAATAATTTGCTACTTTTTCCATGTTAAAGATAATAAATTCTTAAACTATTTTTTTTCTTTAGGGAAGTGGAATTATTTATTGTCGTACTCGAGATGCTTGTCAAGAAGTAGCTTCAAGACTGAGTAGAAAGGGACTTGCTGCAAAGGCTTATCATGCTGGTAATTTACCATTTAATTGAAATGATGAACACATGATATTCACTGACATCTTCATCATTGCATCTTCACCTTTCCCGGTTATATTACCAACCAATTTATTTTTTTTAATGATTACCAGCTCCACGTTGGCTTGCTAGCTTAACTGGTTAGAGCCCTGCACTGGTTTTACAAAGGTCAGGGTTCGACTCCTGGCAAGCCTGAATGTTCTTGCGCTTTTTTGAGTCTTTATTTTAATAGGGTTTAATAGAGTCAGGGTGTACCAAAAATGTTTTCAGCCCCATAACCTCATGCTAGAGTACTGAAATAAGCTGCCACAGGTCTAGACATTTTAAATTAAGCTGCCTGACAAGCGAAAAAAGTTTGTCAGCTTGCAGAGAGGCAGTGTTACAGATTTTCTCCTCGAATTATGAAGGTTCATGGGTCTCTCGCCATTTCACAAAGTCATCCCGGCACAACATTGGAAAGATGTTAGTGAAGTATTTTAAAATGTGGATTCATTAGATTTGCTTACTGATGAAATCCCTGTGTATAGCTTCGGGTAATCTCCTCAGAACACGGGCAAAGGGGAACCTTGTTCCTAAAGGCCAGGTGACGATACTTGTGATCAGGGTAGAGGTCTAACCTACAGCCTTTTTTTATAGCAAGCAACTGCAATAAACAAATGTAACCAACAAAACAAGTTAATTAATTTATCTGCTTTTCTTATTTTCACCTTATCACCCTGGTATTCAACGGAATTTAGTTTCAACTTTGTATTTGTGAATCTTTCCTGTGTACATGTTCAGGTATTGTATACTTACAAGTATATTGTTCAACTCCACAGGCCTTACACAAACAAAACGTGATGAAATCCAACAGGAATGGATGGATGGCAAAGTCCCCATCATTGTTGCGACAATAAGTTTTGGTATGGGAGTAGACAAAGCATCTGTGAGGTAAATTACTATGAAGTCTTTTTCGCAAAATACTGAGATTCATACAAGTTGTATGAAGAGGGAAGATTTTGGCATGCAATTAATGATCGTGACAATGACGTTTATATTTTACTTAAAGAGAGTAAAACTACCAGAATTCGTTTAGTGGCTTTTAGTGGGTTGCTTTTAATTAAAATTGATCAGTCCTGAGATTTAAACAAAAGTAGCTGGATACAGACAGTAATTTTCACGGCAAAACAACAAACTGAAGGATTGTGTTGGTTGAACTAAGCTTATAAATGTCGCCATCATGCGAATGGTTTATTGAGGTATACCGGATGATAGACACAGATTTTCTGAATTGCAAATTGTGAACTCAGGATTTCTGTTTAATCTAACTCCACTCCATGACTAAAAGTAACTCTAAGTAAGAATAGCCGGCCGCTTTTGTTCAAGTGTTAAAAACTTTCTTTCTAACCTGTAGGTGTGATTATTGGATTGGCTATTCTATACCACTGTTTACTTACAGCTCACAAAGAGCTGTTCTAACTGATGTTAGTTTAGAAACTGATTTCTGTAAAATTCCAAAAATAAGCATCAGGGCCCAGTTGTTCAAAAATTTGGATAACGCTATCCTCTGGACAAATCTCTACCCAGTGGATAGCGTGAATGGTTTCCCTAATACTTATCTGCTGGAAAATGATTTATCCGGTGGATAGCGCTATCCAATGTTTGAACAACTGTGGCCAAGTCCTATATCTTTTAGAGGCCTTGTTTAGCAGCGTATTTTCATAGGGACTTCTTTACTGTGGAGAGGTTTATTATTAGTGGGAAATTCGCGTTTTAATGTAGGCTGGGGTTATATTGGAAGAAATGTGTGTCATAAATTTTCGATAAACTGATCGTAATCTCAGGACATTGATTTCAAACCCCAATTGTAAAGCGTTCAAAATGGCAATGGAATACTGTAACAATAGTGCCCTCAACAACATCAATAACACACCATTTGTTCAGTTCAGTTTGTAGTTCATAGCGTAGTTACTGTAGTTCATACGGTATTATACATTCATAGAACCAGTCAAACGTGTGAAAACTCTTATCCGGGCCTCCCCCATACAGTTCGATATGCCATGGTTTAGTTCTAATGCTCATTGGGACTTATATACGGATTTGTTTTTTTAAAGGAGGCCTCTGAGGGGCTTATTTTTGGAATTTACCACATGTATTCTGGCCAATCATTACGCAGGCTGACAGTCAAATAAGCCAATAACATCTCAAACTAGCAATGTATTTTTGCCAAGCGTGGTGAAACCTACAGTTTAAGCTTTATTTTTATGCGCACACAAGCTCCTGGGATCTTAACCCGTGACTCATGCTTCACGCTTCTCGCGGAAAAACCTAAGTCAGCAAGTCATGATTTATTCCGGGTTTTAAGTGTGGTTAGCTGAGAAAATGGCGTTAATCTTTTTAGTCAATGCACAAACAAAGCAGTAACGAAATTGCTTCCATTCGACATGACATCTTGATATGTTTCTAACCCACGTTTTTCTAGGTTTGTTGTTCATTGGACTTTACCACAGTCAATGGAAGGTTACTATCAAGAATCGGGCAGAGCTGGAAGGGACGGGAAACCTTCATTCTGTCGATTATACTATTCCAGGTTGGTCAAAGACAAACAGTGCACGAGCTGCCTCTTTTAATATTCTCTTAGAATCAAAAATGAACACATAATCAGAGCTGTCATTAATGAAGAAATTCAAGAGCTGCGTGCTAAGCAAACTGCATATAAAGTTCATATATTGCACGGAGAATGCTCTTTCCTAGTTCACTCGACTTGGGAGACTGTCGATCCTTTAGTATAGAAACTGGACATGCTCGTGCTATAAATTTTTGCTGAAAACTATAGTTTGCCGGCTTTGGAGTGACGATATTTTACGACTGGCTGACACTAAATAGTGGTTCTTGACGAAATAATTGTCATTTTTGGTAATGAAACAAGAAAGATTTGAAAAATGAACTGCTGAACAGATGTGAACCCATAAAAATCCGGAGGCGGTCGGTCGCTCACATCAATTGTACTCCTGAGAGACTTGTTTCAAGCTCGGTATTTATTTTTCTCTTTGGTGTTCTGTGGTAATTAGGTCTTTATACTGCTAGGATGAGCCCAGCAGTAACAACATTCTCCGTGGTCAAGAACATCCTCTATCTAAGTCCCCTTCTCTATCACCTAACTGGGCGCTTTTTTTATAAATAGCGAGCGAGCCACTTCACAACTTGCATCACAAAGATTTGTCCGTCCTGTTTTTCACGTAATTAGTTTACCCATTTTCTTTCTTCGCTTTTCCTCCTTGCTTTTTATTTATTATTTGTAATAT